TGGGTGAATTTATGAGGATACTTTCAAGTTAGATTTTGTCGTAGATTATTATGTTAAAGCTGATGAAATCTATCGTCATTCTTTACCCTTCACACGTCGATATGTTGTTGAAAATCAGCGACATCTAGAGAGTATTAAAGTTAAACTAAAGTAACTTGTTTTCCCTTTTGTCATTACTTTATTAACCTTGAACCTGTCAAGATATACACTTTCAATCCGTAATCTCTTATCTGTTGTTCTTGCGCTAATGACTGAAGACGTTATTGTGTTATCAAAACGATGAAAACTAATTTGATCAAACATGCAAACATAACGCTGAATCGTAGAATAGAAAAGAGAGGTGAAATATGGTGGAAGAAAAATTCATCGACTTTGTCCATTTCTTTACACTTAAAAAAGTGCGCAAACAGGTAGGTGATGGTGAGAGTGGCAAGATAAGAATAGGACGTTTTGTTGACTCTGTTGCATCCACTCGCTAGAAAAAGCAATGCATTTCTCTTCTCTTCAGTTATGTCAACAGAAAACTTCTACCAGAACACGTTCTTCTTGTGTTTTAGTTTTTAAGTTTTATAACTTCACATTCACGGCGTCATAACGGCACTGATTGTTGTGAGTAAATATCAGTCTAAACCGTAGCAAATCGGGCTATTTTCCAGCGGGGTGGTTTGGGAAGAAGCGGTATGAAATGAAACTCGATAAACGTGTAGTGACCGCGCGAGAAGCGGTATAGATATTCTGATTTGTTATTTCGCGTAGGCTATGGGGAAATTTTAGTAGATACCGCGCCGTTAACACTCGTGAAGGTCGTGAAACAGAATGTGTGCGCAGGTGAACATCGTAAATGGTGTGTTGGCACGCGTGAAAAAATTGTTCTTATGATCAGTCGTGAACTGTACACGAAATTCTTTTCCATCATATTTTTCGCACGGCGTCACAAGTGAAAAGATATGTGACCACGCATGAAAAAGTTATTCGCCTGTCAGCAGACGTGAACAGTTCACGAAAACATATATCCGACGTTTCTGCCGCGGGGCCACTAATGAAACTCAATGAACGTGTAGTGACCGCACGTAAATTTTTCGCCTTAATATCTTCGTAAAAAAGTTTCACTTGCGAACGCGGGTCAGAAGGTCTAGAACGGACTTTATTATAAAAGGTAGCACTTCTCATTTATCTACGTGTAATTCCAACTGCAGTTTTTTTCTATATAGGTTTATCCATAATTGGAAATGTTTCGATTAGTTAAGATTTACCTGGAACTCTGTGCAAAAGTGTTTACGATACAATTTTTTAATCGGGAAAGTTTATTTATTTGGTACTAAATGTGCAGTTTTTGGCACTAACGAAAAGTAAACACATACAGATGAAACCCAAAAACATAAGATTATGTACTTTCTGTCAAATTTGGATATTTTCAAGTAGTAATAATAGTTATTTGCTTGATCGTAATAAGAGGATTTTTCTAGCAAACGGTCACCGTTTACCGACTGTTTACTGAACGTTTTCAGATCTTTTATCATTCACAAAGAAATTCGTTATCAACTGGTCATTAACGGGCAGTTAACGGATCGTTTTTCAGCACCTTATGCTAGAGTGATTTTAGAATGATTTTTCAATGTTTCATGACACATAGAGTACTTCGGGATAATTAGAGACACTCTTTGAAATCTTCACGTATACGCTTGGGATAAATACACACACTCCCATTAAAATACCTGAAATTTTAATGTACAATTGCTGATTAATTAAGCTTAGGAGATAATTAGTTCAAAAATACCTTACCATATAATCAACAGAACAAGAAATTCTCTTTTTTCTTTTTTACACTTCGGAGTAAATAGAGATACTCAAGCGGTTTTTACGTGAGCGTGTGGGAAAATGTTCGGTCTACCATCCTGTTCAATAGCAAGTTTGTTCGATCAAAAACGGCCAAGAAATAGCAAAAAGACAATGAAAATTTCAAAGAATGCCTTTAATTATCTCGAAGTACTCAATGTGTCATGAAACATCGAAAAATCATTCTGAAATCACTCTAGCATAAAGTACTAAAAAACGGCCTGAAAACGCCTGTGTACGGTTTAAAAAACCTAATATGTATGTGTCATGAAACATTCAAAAATCACTCTAGCTTAAAGTATTGAAAAACGCCTCGTTAATTGGCTGTCAACGGCGTGTTTACGGTTTATAGAATCTAATATGTGTGTGTTTTTCGTTTTTCCTCCGGCATGTTTCACACTATGCAGATGCAGTGAAATAAACTAGATATAAAGTAGTACGTAAGCTTGCTACCTTGAATAGCACTTTGATAATGTTAATTTTCGATCCTACATGGCCATATAATTACAGTGACAGACTATCAAACACGCGTGCTGATATTCGAATCTCGATATTTTCAACTAACCAAAAAAATTTTAGGATTATTAGATCATGTGTATAGTGTATACACTAAAAATGTAGAACAAAAAACGTGATTTTCGCCATACATTCTTTAAGAATACTGCAGACGACCTATTGTGCTGTAACTTGATCTAGCGTGTTGTGTAGTAGTTGTTACCATTGCACAATACCAGTGTCCATTTAGAACAGTAGCCACTTATATTCTAACTAGATGTCATTCAAAACTTCATAACTAAATAAACGAGTCATTATGGTTGGTGAAGTAAGAAAACCCTACAAGCAAAAAACTAAAATTATAATTTCACCGTTACATTTTTACTTACTTAATTTATTTTTCTAATTCTACAGATAAGTCCTTCTTGTGTTCTACTAATCTTTTGCAGTGTTTTAGTTCTTAGGACCGGTTCGTTAAATAATGTTTAACGTAGACTTATAGTTAAATTATAATGCACATCATATAGAGCTTTCGTTGATCAGAGTGTTGGTAAAGAAGAAACAGAATGGAAGAGAATAATTCATTCTTTTACAAGGAAAACCGAAGTTATATTCCAAACAATAGAAAATGGAATAGATTTATACCTGGTTAACTTAAGCAGATAGTAGTGGATTAGTCTTCAAAAAATTCCCGATGTCTTTCCCATCTTAACATGTCAGTGCTTTGTATTTGTGCCATTATGTGTGTGAAAACAATATGCTTTATTTTGATGCTTAGCTAGCGAATGTTGTGAGCATTGATAATGTAGTACTTACCTTCCTGCGATACATTGCAATCAAAACAAACCCTATACACACGAAGTATAAATGTATTTTTTCATGCCTATGTGCGGGTAGTTTATGTGACTTATACCATTCATTTGTGACGACAATTTGTACCAGATATATTTGTATAAAGTTAGTTTAAATTAATTAACTATACAGTTTACAAAACTTGTTAATAACTTTTCTTATTTTATTTCCAAGCATTCAGCTAAATATAAAGTTTTAATTCTCGACGCTTAATCGAAATATATCGTCCAGATAGTTGTAAAGAAATTTCATTCAGCAAAGGAGCGCTGAAGACCATAACGTATTTATTTTTCTTCTCTTTTGATCTTATGTTTGTTGCGTTTCGTGTATTTTTCTTGCCTGTCGGCTTGTCCAGCTAACGGTATTCTTTTCTCGCTCTTTTTCAAAATACTATTGCAAGTTGTAAGTACATTAAACATTTCTCTACAAAATGAAAAGTGTCTTGACTCTAAATGTTGATTAGTTATAACAATACAGCTGTCGTACAAACAGCCCCCAAAATCGATTTTGGAGATATCTGAAAACCGCGTCTAAAAGACTGAAGAGCAGCAGGCGAAAATTCAACAAGACTTGTTGAATTTTCACGTTTTTCAGATATCTCCAAAATCGACTTTTGAGGCCGTTTGTACGACAGCTGTATTTTCATAACTGCTCAACATTTAGAGCCAAGACACTTTTCATTTTGTAGAGACATGTTTAATGTACTTAATGATGTAGTTGCAATTTTAGATTATTTTGCAGGTTGACCGCAATAATCTTTTGGAAAAGAGCGAAAAAAGGATACCGTTAGCAATCAGCTAACAAGCCGTCGTATGCATCTAATGAGGAAACCACGCGAAATGATGAATCGCCTTTTGATCGAAATCTAGTAGATTATAGGTTATCAGTCATGCTGATTCAGAATCTGACCATGGGGGTTGCCCATGGCCCTTCAGCGATCCGGTCTTCTGCAAAACCAGTTTTTGAGAAACTCTAGAAAATAACTCAAATCTTTCTTAACAATATAGGATTGTAGTCCACAAATTTCTTATTAAAATTAGACATCCTCTAGCTGTACACGCCCTTTCTTTGTCAAATTATAGAATCTATAACAAAAGCCCTAAATTGTTGATTGTTAGCGCAAAGCTACAGAAACAATTAATTTGGGGCTCTTGTTATAAATTCTATAAGTTTGCAAAGAAAGGTCGTGTACAGCTGGAGGATGTCTAATTTTAATAAGAAATTTGCGGCTACAATCCTATATTGTTAAGAAAGATTTGAATTATTTTCTAGAGTTCTCAAAAACTGGTTTAGCAGAAGACCGGATCCATGAAGGGGCATGGGCAACCCCCGTGGTCAGATTCTGAATCAGCATGATTGATAACCTATAACTCACTAGATTTCCACCAAAAGGCGATTTATCATCTAGCAAGCATTCTTCGTAAGTGTACAACGTTATTTCTCTTTTAAAAAGAAAGAACAAGTAAGCATCACAAAAGCAAATGTTGTTTTTTAATTAGATGGAAAGATATGCAACTGTCATTCACCATGAGCATCTGCTTTGACATTCACGAAAGCTCTTTATTCTAGCGTCGATGGCGTCAAGCAACCCACAAGCCACAAAATGGATAAACACAAACGTTGAACAACAGAGTCACAGACAAGGGCAGAATCTGGAAACATTTGCTCTCTTATGGCTCGATCAGAATGTGAATGAAAGCAAAGACAATTTAGAAACACAAGCACAATTGCGGCAATCCATCAACTGTTTATTGACGTTTGAAACTGCAAATGAGTGTGAAGAACATATTCGAGAAAGGAAAGATGAAAAGATTGTTCTCATCGTGTCTGGTCGATTAGGCAGAGAGATTGTCCCGAGAGTTCACGATTTATCCCAGTTAAGCGCCATCTACGTCTACTGTATGGACCAAACAACGAATGAGAGATGGGCAAAATCTTATGAAAAGGTAAAAGAAGTTTTCTTCAGAGCACCAAATACTTCAAGAGAGAAGCCAACGTTCTCTTCCATGTCTACAACTTATCTGACACGGTTTGTGAAAAAAGTCAGCAGATGTGGGATACTGTGTTTATTGTTGTCCCATTTCTCGTCCAAGATCGTTCTGTGATGGAAACGTTTGCTTCCTTTCGTTGGATTCAACCTCTTAGATTAGTATCGACAAAAGCTAATGGCCTTCAGCACCGGGAATGGGCAAGAATATCGATAGAGAAAAGATTGCTTCGAGATGGCATGGCAACCTTGTCGTTGATAGATCTCTTACAAGTGGGCGAAGAAACACTTTGACACTTTGAAAAACACTATCCCTCCACATTCTTATACTGGATGTGTGGGTTAGCGAAGGCGAGATTCAATAATGGTGGCTTCCGAAACGAGACCGGTCTGATTTGTGAAAATCTGCAATTTACATAATATCTGGATGTTCAGATATTCAGGTATCTTCCTCTTTTCTTTCACGGTGGCGAATATCAGGAAGCGCCTCACGCTCATCTTCCCTTGCCACCCCCACCTTCCCTTTTCCCCATTTCTATAGCATCTGAATATCTAAATATCTAACTTGAATATCAGAATATCTGAATACCTGAACATCTAGATATATTATGTAAATTGCAGATGTTCACAAATCAGACCCTACTGTCCGAAACCAGAACCGATTGTAGTCTTGAGATGACACGCTCTCGCTCCATCTTATCAGGATTTTACAGTAAACAACCACGAAACAAGTCACTGAACTGCATGTAATTATATATTACATGCTTGCTCCTAGCAGAGAGTAGAGTTGCATTTCTTTCATCTCTTGATGCAAGATTCTCGATGGTAACATCAATAGAAATAACAAGCCACCATTTAATGGGTGATAGTTTATTAATGCCTTGTATCTGTAGAAACTAGATCAGAAAGGAAGTAGCTCAAGCTTCTCTCATTAGGGTTCAAATTTTAATGCAATATGTCGTGAGCTCGACTTGTTATGTAATAAATAAAATAACTGAAAAGCTCATTGGAAAATATCTCACAGCAAATCATTGACATCTGTAAAACTTCGACTCCTTTTGAGAATCAAACTAATAAATATAAATCTCATAAATCGTCAGACGATGACAGATGACAATGTCGCTCCAAAGGAAAGAAGACAAAAGTGACTGACTGGCATCAACTTTATTTCTATCTATAAATAGAGGTATCCGAGGTACTAAGGGATAAACTTGCCCACGGCTCTGAGGGTGAGAGAATGACAGGCGAGAAGCCCAAATTGATTACGTGATATCTCGATGACTGCAAACATACAAGTCGTCTGATGTGGTGCGATGGTACACTCGAGAATGTTTTCTCTACAAGGTGCTCAACAAAGCGCTTCGAGTTCAGAACATCGACATTCTCTTCACACTTCGATTTCTAATCACCGATATTCACAACCAGCTCATCAAAGAATCGCCAGACACCCAAATCAGTCGATTATATCGAGGTCAAGTGATGTCAAAAGATGAACTTTCTCGCATTCGTTCAAGTATTGGTGAATTCATCTCGATAAACTCCTTTCTATCCACAACGCGTAGTCGGAACAAGGCACTTGATTTTGCTCAAAGTGCTCAGTGTGGCGCTCAAAATGAACGTGT